GGCGCGACGACGGGGCCGGGGCCGGGACCGGGCGGCTACATCCCCTCCTTCTACAGCCCTAAAATCGCCTTCTACGCGGGGCTGCGCAAGCCGCACGAGGGCTACGAGGTGCTGCGCTTCGACGACGTGGTCACCAACGTGGGCAACTACTACGAACCGTCGAGTGGCAAGTTCACCTGTCCCCTGCCCGGCATCTACTTCTTCACCTACCACGTCCTCATGCGCGGCGGCGACGGCACCAGCATGTGGGCTGATCTCATGAAGAACGGGCAGGTACGGGCCCCCCGCCCGCCCCCAGCCCCTCCCCGTGCCCCCTCCCGCTGCCCCCTTCAGACTCCCCCTGCCCGGTTTCTCCCTGCCCGGTTCCCAGCGCGGCACCTCCCGGGGCTCCAGGCACAAAACAGTCGGCCAGGTCCCGGCGCTGCGAGCATATCGGGGCGGCGCCACCGGGGCTCGCGGCGTTGGCCCCTTAGGGAAACTCGGGAGCTCCGCCGGGAACGGCGGCCCCACCGAGCCCCGGCCGGGAGCCGCCTCCGCCCGTGCCGAGGGAGCGGCAAGTGCCTCGGTCGTCGCGCTCCGGGGACGGGTGGTGCCGGCGGCGACTCCGGTAACGGCGGGGCCGCGGCCGCCGTCGACATTTCCCGTTTATTAGGAGAGACTGATCGGCCGCGACCGCTGCCGGCTCCGCAGGGAGCTGTTTCCCGTCCCGGGGGCTCTGTCGGGCACTGGGAGCGCCCGGTAACACGGCAGGGTGCGACACCAGGATGGAGAAGGGGGCACGGGAGGGGAACACGGGCTGGTGCCGGCCCCCAAATCTCCCGCAGCGCCACTGGGGGCACCAGGCCCCCCGCGGTTGATTGTCACCTCCAGTGTCCCCAGCGGACCCGGGGCACGTGGGGGCCAGGGAGGACCTGGACGTGCGGGTCCCTGTCCCAGCTACATGTCAGCCGGGCTGTGTGAGTGACCTTGAACGGCTGCTTCCTCCCTGCCCCGGCTCAGTCCCCATCCCTGTCCAGGATGCGAGGGAGCTCACGGCTGTGTCTCCCCCCAGGTGAGGGCCAGTGCCATCGCCCAGGACGCTGATCAGAACTATGACTACGCCAGCAACAGCGTCATCCTGCACCTGGACGTGGGCGACGAGGTGTTTGTCAAGCTGGACGGTGGTAAGGTGCATGGCGGCAACACCAATAAGTACAGCACCTTCTCCGGCTTCATCATCTACCCAGACTGAGCAGCGGCCCCCTGACATCGCTGGGGATGGGGAGGGGGTTTCCAGTGCTCGGGGCAGGGCAGGGAGCCCCCAGCCCCACGGAGGCTCTGGAGGCAGATGTATGGAGGTCATTTTCTCCCCTCCTGGTGCCACGGTGCCGGGCAGCCTGGGAACAAGCTGGCTGTGCACACATGCCCACCCACCCCGGCACACTCCCTGTCCCTGCACCCAGGCACGGCTGTAGCTGCAAGGGCTACACCCATACTACCTGCCCTGCACTGCCCCTCCACACACCACCTCCCTGTGCATGCTGCCCGTTGGCATCCCTGTGTAAATACAGCCGTCTGCATGCCAGCACCTGCCAGACTGTATACCCCTCGCTACACCCACACTGCCGAGCAGCGGCCCCATGCTGGGCTCCCTGACACACATCCAGTTGTTGCACTTGTTATTTGCCCCCCCACTTCCCAATAAAACCCTCCAGTTTTGGACATGCAGCTGCTGGCTTTGCCTTGGCACCCACCTGGGGGGCCACACGTGTCCCAGAGTGTTGTGCGCATCCCGGAGTGCTACAGCGCTGGCCCCGTCTGTTGCCTGTCACCACTCCGCGCGTCGCTGGCGGTAATGAGCACGCCAGCGGCCGCCGTAATTGGCACCTGGATGCCAAGCACCCTGGGAACCAGTGCAGAGAAGGGGGGCGCAGGGGGACAAGGCAGACGCAGAAGGTACCTGGGACACCCCAGGGAGGGAGCTGTGCCCCCCACCTAACTGAGAAGAGCCTAGGGGCTTGTGGGGGGGGGGGGGCAGGTGTCCGAGTGCCCCCCACACACACACTACAGTGTCACACCGCACAGTCCTGCTGGGCTGGGACGGTGCCCTAGAAGGGCAGCGGGAAACCCACGAGTGCAATCAAGGTTTCATTGGGTCCCGGGGGAGGAGGGAGGGAAGGGGGACACCGTGCACCCCCACGGGCTCCCCTGGCCCCGTCGCGGCTGTGGCAGGGGGACTCTGCTCCCATCTCCGGTGCCCTCGAGTCCTCAGCCCCTTCATCACTGGCTGTGTGGGGCTGCAGGGTGAGAAGGGCAAAGAGGGGACCGGGATCGACCAGAGGGTGCCCTTCCCGACCCCCACTCTGGTTCCAGCTGTGCTATGGGACTCGCCAGGAACACCCCATCTCTGCTCAAAGGAATTCTCTCCACCCGCGGTCCCCGATACCCCTCCAGTCCCTCCTACACTCCCATGTGATCCCCCCAATACCCCCAGGAGGATCCCCAACATCTGCACGGGACCCCCAACATCTCCCAGAGATCCCTAGCAGTCCCTCTAGGCTCACACCACATCTCCCAGAGATCCCTAGCAGTCCCTCTAGGCTCACACCACCCTCTCGGGGAATGCCAGCAACCTACCTGGATCCCCTAACAACAGTCCCCCGGAACCCCCAACACCGCCCCAGGACCACAACACCCGCCAGGCTCCCCCAACCCCCTTGCGACCCCGCCAACACCCGCGGCGCTACCGCCGCCCCGCGCCGCCGCTTTGTAGCATCGCGCTCGCGCTCATTGGACGCCGCGCCGACCAATGGGCGCCGCGGAAGGCGGGGCCCAGCGCAGCGCACGGCCTTGAATTGGCCGAGGCCGCCCGGCAGCCTCAGGGCGCCAGGGGGCGCCGCGGCGACGGGGCGCCCGGAGGAGCATAGAGAGCACGGGCGGAGCTGGGCGGAGCGGCGCGGGCCGGGGGTAGCGGCGGTGCGACCCCCTCGGGCCGGCCGCCTGCAGCGAGCAGCCGGTCCCCTGTCCCAACACCCCTGCGCCTTCGGGGACAGCGCTGGGAGAGACAAGGCGGGACAGCGACAGCCCCAGGACAAGAGACCACCGAGCAACAACCCACGAGTGCAAAGGGGCTTTACTGGAGCAACAGCCCGCGAGTGCAAAGGGGGGTTATTCAGTACGGGGGGGCTGTGGCTCTACAGCATCTCCTGAGGCTGCCGGAGGAGCCAGGTGTGCCGGTGCCTTGAGCCGTCACAGTGGCCGAGGGCCGCACGGGCTGCCTGTCGGGCTTGGGGGGAGGCTGCCGGGGGGGGGACCGGTATCCAGGGATGTCACCGGCTCCTGCAAGGCCCCCAGATGCGGTTCCTCCACCAGGGACGGCGTCAGCTCCATTGTGGACACAACCAGCTCCAGCGGGGACGGCGGTGGCTGCTCCAGCACTGTCCCCAGGCCCGGGCGGGGGCTGCAGCCCAGCTGGGCTCCCACCGTGGTGGGGGGCACGGGGACACTGCCCTGCCTGTCCCGCTCCTGTGCAAGGACATGGGGACAGGTTGTGGGACACAAGCAGGACTGACACCCTCCTCCCCCAGACACCTGCCCATCCCACCCTGCAGGGACATCCACCCAAGGGAGCCCCACAGACACCCCCCAAAACCAAGAGACTCCTCATCTCCACAGTCCCCTCACAACCTCCCCAGCCCCTGTACCCATGACATGGAGCATGTGCCCAAACCCACCCCCGCCAACCTAGTTCTCCCGCAGCAGGGTCCCAAGGGCTCCAACACTCACCTCCAGAGCACCCCCCCCCAGTAGTTATGGGGTGGGGGTCACGTACCTGGCAGGCACTGGCGGGCAGGCGCTGGGCACGGGGTGTGCGGGAAAAGGGTGGCTGCTCCCTGGAGAGCTGCAGGGAGCAGAGGCTCCAGTGGGACCCCAGGAGAGGGCCCAGGCATCCAGGCTCCCTCCCCTCCTCCCCCTGCCCCCTAACTCATCCCCACCTGGGTGACGGGCACACGGCGGGCAGAGCCGAAGGGTGAGGGGAGACAGGGGATGGCGATGCGGGCTGCTGCCACAGGAGACCTGGAGCCTGTGGGGACAGGGACAAGAAGGAGGGGGTCTGACTTGCTGCCAGACCCCAGGAGGCAGCCAGGACCCCCTAAGAGGCAGCGGAGACTCCTTAGGTGACAGAGAAGGTCCCCATAGGATAACTAAACCCCCCCCCAAAGGATGTGGGAGTCACTCACCTGTCTTGGTGGCGCTGGCAGGACCCCCCTCTACCTTCCAGATGCTGCCGAGAGATACAGGAGCCTCATGAGCCCAACAGGCCTCTTCCACACATGCAGCGAGTTGGCTGGTCTCAGCCCACTCTGGTCCCCGCCCCACAAGCAGTCCCAGAGGCCCCTCACCTGGGTGCAGGGCTGGTCCCCTGTGGCCGGGGGCACTGGGGGCTGCGGGAGCGCAGGGGCACCCGCCGCGCCAGCCCGCACCCCTCCACGGTGCCCCTGGGGGGGCTGCCGAGGGGACGCTTGGTGAGGACGGGCAGGGGGCTGCCGCGCTCTGCCAGGGGAGTCTGCAAGAGGACACAACGTAAGCAGGGCTGGCAGCAACAGAGAGGACCCCCCTGCAGTGACGCAGAGCAGGGTACACCCCCTCACACCACGTGGCATAGCGTAGGGGGCACCCACCTTTTTGGCACTCGTCGGCGGGCGCAGGGCACGAGGTGTGGAGAAGGAGGGCGGCGGCTCCCTGGAGAGCTGCAGGGAGCAGAGGTGCTGCTGGGACCCCAGGAGAGGGCCCAGGCCTCCGGGCTGCCCCTGTCCCCAAACTCACCTCAGCCTGGGTGGTGGGCACACGGCGGGCAGAGCCAAAGGGCGAGGGCATGTAGGGGACAGTGACGCGGGCTGCTGCCAGGGGGGACCTGCAGCCTGTGGGGACAAGGACAACGGCGGGGGACAGGGGACAGTCGGAGTTACTGCCAGGCCCCCAGGCCAGAGAGGGGCAGCCAGGACCCCATAAGGGGCAAGAGACTCCTTAGGGGGCAGAGAAGGTCCCCAGGACCCCCAAGGGGGACAGCCAGACCCATGGGGGTCTGTGGGTCACTCACCTGCCTTGGTGGCGCTGGCAGCAGCTGCCTCCGCCTGCCGGGTGCTGCTGAGAGACACAGGAGCCCCGTGAGCCCGAGGGGCCTCCCCGCACGTGCAGCGAGGTGGCCGCTTTCAGCCCCCTCCCAGGGGCTCTCACCTGCACGTGGAGCTGGGGTCCCACAGCTGAGGGGACAGGGAGCACAGGGGCACCCGCCGCGCCAGCCCGCACCCCTCCGCAGTGCTTTTGGGGGTGCGTCTGTCCGCCTGCAGCAGCTTCTCCTTGGTGCCGGAGGGGACAAACGGCTGCAGCTGCTCAGCCATGGTGCCCTGGGGTGCCACATTGTGGGGATGTGGGTGTCAGGAAACTGGGGACACCCAACCCCTCATCACCAGCCACCTCAGGGCTCCTCTACGGACACCCGCAAGGGAACCCCCCCACACCACGGTCACCAATAGGGTCCAAGGCTCCACCATAAGGGGGGGCAACTGCGCAGCCCCCACCCAGGAGAGCCAACACACACCAGGAGACCCAACATCCCCACGAGGACCTCCAACACTCCCCCACCTCCCTCACGGGGACCTCCAGCACCCCCAGGGACTTCCCTAACACCGCAGGGGGGCCCCAACACCCCTCAGGGAACCTCAACACTCCCTGGGATCCCCTCATCACTCCTGCGGGGACTCCCGACACCTCCCCAACATTCCCAGGGAGCCCCCCACAGTCCCTCCATGCGCACAACACCCCCTGGGAACCCTCAACACCGCCCCGGACCACAACATCCGTCGGGGTCCCCCAACCCCCCTCCGCACGCACCCGCCAACACCCGCGGCGCTACCGCCTTCCCCTCGCCGCCACTTTGTAGCATCGCGCTCGCGCTGATTGGGCGCCGGGCCCGCGCCGACCAATGGGCGCCGCGGGAGGCGGGGCCCAGCGCGGCACACGGCCTTGGATTGGCCGAGGCCGCCCGGCAGCCTCTGGGCGCCAGGGGGCGCCGCGGCGACGGGGCGCCCGGAGGAGCATAGAGAGCACGGGCGGAGCTGGGCGGAGCGGCGCGGGCCGGGGGTAGCGGCGGTGCGACCCCCTCGGGCCGGCTGCCTGCAGCGAGCAGCCGGTCCCCTGTCCCATGGACCTTCCCTTGCATGGATCCCTGCACCTTGCGCGGACCCACGCATGTATCCCGTGCACCGGTAGCGCCAGGGTGGGAGTCTCGGCGGTCGACGGGCGGTGTCATTTGCCAGGACCTCCCAGCGCAGCCTGGTGTCACCTGCCCGGCTCCCTCGTGGGCTCCGGGCCCCCCCGGCCACACCGGGCGCCCTGCCCAGGGGCCGCTCTGGATGTCCCCATGTCTCCCCTGCGCCCGAGCGGCTGCGAACAATGAGCAAGAGGCAAAAGGGAATTGGAACAAAAAAAAAATCATCTTTTTTTGTGGTAAAAGCAACCAAGCAAAAGATACATTTTATTTATTAAAAAAAAAAAAAAAAAAAAAAAAAAAGAGCAAACAAATGAACAAAAAAGTCACGGGAGGTGCCGGAGGACTGAAAGAGCCAACGGCCCTCCTGTCTTCAGAAAGGTCAAGGGGGCCCCAGCCCCAGGATCCCCGGGCCGGTCCAGCCTCCCTTCCATGCCTGGAAAGGTGATGGAGCAGCTCCTCCTGGAGGCCATTCCCAGGCATTCCAAGAGAAGGAAGGTGACCGGGGGAGGCAGCACCGATTCCGCGAGGGAATGTTGTATTTAAGCGACCTGACTGCCTAACACGATGGGACAGACGGATGGATGGGGGATGGCAGTGATGTCTCCCTTGACTTCAGCAAGGTTTTCCACACCCACAGGGTCCTCATAGGGTTGCACAGGAGACAGACAGACCCGTGGTCACAGGTGGGAAATATGGGTAAAAATAGCCAAGGGCAGACAGACCCCGCAGCCCCACAACTGCTGATGAACCAGAGACACCGTGAGCATCCCAAGGTCCCCATGGTCACCCACACAGCCCAGATTCGGCTCGGCGACAGCGACATGACACAGACCCTGGAGTGCTGAGGGGTTCTGTGGCAGCGGTGGTGGAGGCAGTGTCCCCTGCATCAGGGTCCTCCCCATGGTGGCATCAGGGACCCCCTTTGTGGCCAGCTGGGCTCGCACCAACCTGTCCCTTCCGCCCTTTATGTCCTCTGGCTGAGTCCTGCAGGGCAATCAATGACGGAAAGGGGGATATGGGGTGGGAGGGGGACTGAGCCCATGTCTTAGCAGCCAGTCTCATAGCAACCTAGTGGTTGCCTAGTAACAGTTGGCAGGGAGACAACTGTTGTTCCATATCTTAAGGAGATGGGGGGCCAAGGGTGCCCCCTCCCCATGCGGAGCCCTGGTGCCACCAGGAGCATCTGTCCCCACGGCTGTGTTCCCGGGGACCATGTCCCCACCGCACCCTGCGGCACTGTGGGGCTGAGCCCTCCTTTGTCTGTGGGAAGCACCCGGATCGGGGCCCCTTTGTGTGCAGCTCCCAGCAACCCCTTGCCAGGGTCTCCCAGGTCCTGCAGCATCGGGTGCTGCAGCATCCCTGCATCGTCGGGTGCTGCAGCACCCCTGCACCTCTGCGCCCTGCTACACCCCGCCCTGCTACACCGTACGCTGCACCACCATGGTGCCCTACACTGCAGTCTGCACTGCCACACCCTGCTACATTATGCTTTGCTACAGCATGCTCTGCGCCACCATGTGCTGCTACACCACATCCTGCTACACCATTCCCTGCACCACCCTGTCCCAGTACAACATGCACTGTTGTGTCCTGTTACACTATGCCCCGCACTGCTGTGACCTGCTACAGCAAGTCCTGCACCACACTAGCACGCTCTCCCATGCCATGCACTACTGTACCCTGTGCCATTGTGCCCTGCACCACCCTATCCCACTATACCATGCCATGCACTGCCATACCCTGTACCACTGTGCTATGTACCACCCTATCCTGCTGCACCATGCCCTGCACCACCATAACCTGTACAATTGTGCCCTGCACCACCTTATCCTACTGTGCCATGCCATGCACTGCCATACCACCTGTACCCTGTGCCACTGTGCTGTGTACCACCCTATCCTGCTACACCATGTCATGCACCACCATACTCTGTGCCATTGTGCCCTGCCACACTGTGCCCTACTGTGCACAACCATGTCAAGCTACACCATGCCATTCGCACCTTATCCTGCTACACTGTACCATACATCTCTGTGCCCTGCACTGCCGTGCCCGCTCTGCAGGGGCCCTATGGCAGGAGGGGGACGCATGGAGGTGCCCCTGGCCCCCTGCCCAGCCGTGCCAGGCCAGGCTGCACTGCCAGGCTGCAAACACGTCGGGGGCCCAGCAACCGTCACCAGGAGCCGCCGTGTTGCTACCAACAGTCAACACAGCACAGGCAGGAAGGACAGTGCCTGGGGTGGGCAGCTGCGAGTAAGGAGAGGGCCGTGTCCCTTTGGTGGGGTACAGCAGGGCTTGGCACAGGGTTCCCCCCCATAGCGGCCCTGGAGACCCCCAGCCTGGCCAGCCGGGCTGGCACCACCCTGTCCTCTCCACCCCTCCCTCTGTGTCCCCTGGCTGAGCCCTGCAGGGCGATGGATGCCAGGGAGGGGGACGCTGGAGGGGGGGGGATGGCCCATGTTCTAGCAACCAGTCTCCTAGCAACGTGGTGGTTGCCTAGCAGCAGTCAGTGGGAGAAGGCTGGCCGTCCATACCTAAGGAGATGGGAAGGGGCTGGGAGGCCAGGGGTGCCCCCCCTCCGCCCCCTCCCAGACCCTTGGTGCCACCAGGAGCCCCTGTCCCCATGACTGTGTCCCCAGGCACGATGTCCATCCCCCCCTCGCCCCATGCGGCACTGCGGGGCTGAGCCTTCCTTTGTCTGCAGGAAGCACCCGGATCGGGGCCCCTTTGTGTGCGGCTCCAGGCGCTCCGCATTGCGGATGGGGATGTGCCTGGGGCTGAGCAGGGCTCTGGGATCCCAAGCAGCCCCTGGATACACAGAATGTGGGAAACATGGAGGAAAACATCAGAAAAGACTGTTTGCCAGTGGAGGTGGGGAGAGGCGATGCCAGCGGCTTCAGTGGCAGCAGCTGCTGCTGATCCTGTCCTGTCTGGAAAGACCCTTGGAGCCTGCAGAGATATGGCTGAGAGAGGGAATGGGGTTACAAATAGTGACCCTTGGGGACATGGGTGTGGCTGGAAATGGGGACATAGCCAGGAACAGGGATCATGGAATGGGGAGGATGAGGTGGGTCCCAGGGTGTGGCTGGGACCAAGAGACAATGGTGCAGTGGAGATGGGGACCGGTGTGTGGCCAGGACTGGGGACCAGGGTGCAGCAGGGAGCCAGGGTATTGGACACAGGCAGAAACAGGGAGCATGGCATGGTGGGGATGAAGACCAGGGAGTGGATCAGAATGGGGACAGGAACCAGGGCGTGACTGGGGACATGAGCACCAGAACATGGCCAGGAATAGGGACCATGGCTCATTGAGGATGAGGACCAGGGTGTGGCTGGGATTTGGAGTATGGTCAGGAATAGGGACCATGGTGTGGTGGGGATGAGGATGTGACTGAGAACAGGGACACAGCCAGGAACACGGACCACAGTGTAGCAGGGATAGGGACCGGGGTGTGGCCAGGATCAAGGACATGTCAGGGAAGCAGGACTACAGTGCAGCAGGGATGGGGACCAGAGTGTGGCCGGGATTGGAGACCAGACTGAGGCTAGGAACAGGGTGGCTGGGAAGCAAGGGGGAGCAGGCACAGGCAGGAACCCCAAGCAACGGGGCCCCGTGAAACTGGACAGGCAAGACCGGCCCGAGCCGGCCCAGGAGCGGCGGCTGCGGCCCGGGCTGCGGCGGGAGGAGCCGCAGCGGAACAAAGAGGCGCCGCCGCCCCCGCGCCTTTGTCTGCGGCGCCGGGGGGGCCATTACCTCATCCGGCCCCGCGCCAATGGCCGCCGCCCCCCCGGCCCCGCCGCCCGCCCGCCCTATATAGCGCGACGCCGCCGCCGCCCGTTGCTGCGTTTCTTACATCGAC